CCAGGGACCCGCCATAGAGACGCCACTGGAGTGGCCAGAGAGTATCCGCAGCCCCAGGAGGACTGGCCATAGAGCTTCGGTGTTGGGCGGCCAGAGCGACTCCGGCGTCGGATGCGCGCGCTCTTTCTGTGGTTCCTGCAGCAATAAAGTCGGGAAGCATTTGTTTTATGAGTCGTTACTGATTCTAAGCGCCTTTCAAGTGTGATGCATTCATTCTACAAATATTTGTTGACTATTTCTGTGCTTGACTTACACTCTAATGAAGTAGTGGCTGACTGGAGACTTCCAATAGTGTTTGCTATATTTGCTCTGTCGTATGCCTTAACAGTATATGCATCCACCATATCCTGCTTTTGATTCATTGAGTAATAAGTACATTGAAAATACAGAACACTTCATCTCTAGAAACTTAAGCTATGAGTGCAAAACCACTGCAATGAGAGTCGACCTATTAAAATGGTTTTGCTTCTAACAACTTAATGCTGCATCCCCAAGGAGGAACAAGCCCCCTCCCCCCTTTAAAACTCTGTCAAAAGACTACTAGCCAACACCTATCTGCCTTCCTGAACAAGTTTACTTAAAAAGCGCACACGTATGACTCTTTCCTGTGTCCTGTTGAGATGTATGTGTATTTTTTGTTTTGTTTTTTTGTTTGTTTGTTGTTGGTTTTTTTTGTTTTTTTGTGGGTTTTTTTTTTTTTTTTTTTTTTTTTTTTTTTTTTTTTCTGTTAGACAGCAGAGACAGGGTCTCCCTGTAACCCCAACAGGCCTGGAACTCGCTATGTAGACCAAGGTGGCCTCAAACTCAGAGAGATCAACCTGCCTCTGCCACCCGAGTGCTGGGATTAAAGGCGAGCATCACCATGCCCAGCTATGAATAGATTTTATACACATGCACACACCCCACAATAAATAAATTAAAAAAGTTAACATAAATAATTAGGGCCAGTGAGATCAGTGAATAAAGGCACTGTGCTGCCAAGTCTGACAACCTGGATTTGCTCCCCAGGACCCACGTGATGGAAGGAGAGAATCAACTTCCACAAGTTGTCTTCTGACTTACACACACACACACACACACACACACAAATACATGCATAAATGTAATAAATTTTAAAATGGTAGCTGAGTGCAATGGCACAATATATAATTTTAAAATTCAGGAGGCGGAGGCAGGAGAATTTTGAGTTCAAAGCCAGCCTGAGTTATAGAGACTCTGTTAAAAAAAAAAAAAAAAAAAAAAAAAAAAAAAGCCTGGTGTGGTGGCACATGCCTTTAATCCCAGCACTTGGGAGGCACAGGCAGGCAGCTCTCTGCTGAGTAGAACTCCACTGAGTAGATGTACCACCACATTTTCATTAACCATTCGTCAGTTGAGGGACATTTAGGTTGTTTCCATTTCTTAGCTATTGTGAAGAGAGCAGCAATAAACATGTATCTCTCTACAGAACGATGAGTCCTTTGGATATATGCCAAGGAGTGGTATCACTGGATCATATGGTAAGTTCATTTTCAGTTTTTTGAGGGCTCTCCACACTGCTTTCCATAGTGGTTGCACAAGTTTGCATTTCCACCAGCAGTGACTGAGCTTCTTCTTTCTCACATCCTCTCCAGCATTTGCAGTCTTTGTTCTCTTGATGTTTGCCAATCTGACTGGGGTAAGATGGAATCTTAAAGTGGTTTTTATGTGCATTTCTCTAATTACTAAGGATGGTGAATACTTTTTTTTTTTGTCTTTTTTGGAAGCAGGGTCTCCCTGTAGTCCCAGCTGTCCTAGAACTCACTATGTAGACCAGGCTGGCCTTGAACTCACAGAGATCCACCTGCCTCTGCCTCCCAAGTGCTGGGACTATAGACGTGCACCACCATGCCCGGAAATGTTGAATACTTTTTAAGGTGCTTCTTAGCCATTTTTATTTCTTTGTTTTTTGAGTTCTTTGTATATTCTGGATATTAATCATCTGTCGGATGTGTAGCTGGTGAACATTTTCTCCACTCTGCGGGCTTCCTCTTCCCTTCCTTAGTTGTTTCTTTTGCTGTACAGAAACTTTGTAATTTAATGAGGTCCCACTTACTGATTGTTGACCTTAGTGCCTGAGCAGCTGGTGTCTGGTTTAGAAAGTCCTTTCCTACGCCTATATCTTGAAGGGTGCTGCCTATGTTTTCTTCTTGCAGTTTCTAAGTTTCCAGTTTATTGAGGTCTTTGATGCATTTGATGTTGACTTTTGTGCGGGTTGAAAGATAAGGGTCGAGTTTCATTTTTCCAGAGGTGGAGATCCAGTTTTGCCAACACCACTTGTTGAAGATGCTATCTTTCTTTCACTCTCTGTTCTTAGCACCTTTGTCAATATCAAGTGGCTGAAATCATATGAATTCATGTTTGGGTCTTCTGTTATGTTCATTGATCTATGTGTCTATTTTTGTGCCAGTACCATGCTGTTTTTATGTCTATAGCTCTGTAATATAATTTGAGATCTGGTATGGTCCCTCCAGCTTTGTTCTTTTTGCCCAAGATTGTTTTGGCTATCTGAGGTATTTTTTTTGATATTTCATTTATTATCTTTATTTTATGTGTATGAGTGTATTGCCTGCCTGTATGTGAGTGCACCTGTGTCAGTCAATGCCGTGGAGGTCAGAAGAGGGCTTCAGATTCCCCTGGAACTGGAGTTAAGGATGGTTGGGTGCTGGGACTCGAACCCAAGTCTTCTGCAAGAGCAGTCAGTGCTCTTAACCACTGAGCCATCTCTCCAGCCCTGCACTATATATTTTTTAAAGTGTATGAGTATATTATCTGTATGTATGTAAGTGGTCCTGTGTTGTACAATGCCCTCAGAGGTCAGAAGAGAGCATCAAATCCCCTGCAATTGGAGTTACAGATGGTTATTAACTGTCATGTGGGTGCTGGGATTCCAAGTTGGGTCCTCTGCAAGAGCAGCCAGTTCTCCTAACTGCAGAGCCATCTCTCCAGCCCCTAAAGGTTTTAAATACTATAGCAGTGTTTTCAGCCTTTCTTTCATTATTATCCTAAGTGGATTTTTGGACAGGTTTTATGATTACTACTATTATTTGTGTGTATTGTGTATGTGCATGTGTGTGAGGCCAAAGATCAACCTCATCTTTTATGGGACAGGGTCTTTCAGTGAACCAAGTTGGCTAGGCTTGTGGGCCAATACACTTGGGATCTGCACATTTCTGTACCCCCTGCACTAGGGTTACAGGTGCATGATATATGCTTGGCTTCTCTGTGGGCTCTGGGGATTAAAAGGTCCTTGTGTCTGTGTGCAGTACTTTACCAACTGAGCCAGCACCCCAGCCTCACAGCTTTTTCTGATCACTTACAGTGAAACTTTAATACCACAAATATATTGTATATCTATTTGTATATTGTAATGCTTGGCAGGCTACAAACCGTTGAGATAACTAGAGTTTTGGAGATTTGGTTTTTTGTTTTGTTTTGCCTTTCTCCAAGAATCATATTTTGCTTCATCTGAGACAACATCTATTTCTCTTAACCCCAGAGGGAAGCTACCTTGGCCCTTCTGGGGATCTTTTCCCTCTGTTCTTGCCTACTCTGGTTCCCCTTTGGAATTCCTTTTTTTTTTTTTTTTTAG